CCCATTAAGTTAAACTCATGCTATGGTGGCACTGTGTCAGGAATACTGTAGCATAGCCACAACCCTAATTGCTTGTGGAAATTAAAGACGTAGTAATAACACTACCACTGCACCCCATCAACTCCATCTTAGTTATGCATTGAAACGTTGGTCATTGTGAACAATGACAAGGAATTCATGTTGTGCTTGTTAGACTACTGCTCCCTTTCAGGAAAAGAGTGTCAGCAGAAGGGCCCAGGCTAAATCCCTGACTTCTGCCTGTAGGGTTGGAAAAGGCTTCTGTCATATCCTCGAGAACTAGAGAGACCGCTGTTTTGATGGGAAGTGACATTTACCTAAAATCTCGGTGCATTATCCCCAAAACCCCATGTGGCTTCCCTTGTCAGAGATCAAACTCTGGTGCACAAAGAGAAAAGCCCCATATGGTTGCAGAGGAGCCTTTGTACAGCCTGTGACTAACCTACCTCATCACAAGGGCCGCTGGTTTGGGGAGGGGGGAGTGTTTTTTGCATTAGTGAAAACAATACTGGACCAAAACAATGCTAAGATTCAGCATCCATTTCAAAAATTAGTTTTCTAAATGTTCTCACTGCTATCAAGAAAATCTCTACCTGTTGCCTTGCAATGGTATTTTCCATTTTGCTGAAATCAGACCCATCTGACCACAGAGTGCAGAAGAGAACATTAGTTCAGCATTCTGTCTGTGATCAGTCAACAACTAATCATTGTACCAGGTTTCTAAGGCTTTACCTTGGACAAGCTCTTATCCCTGTCCAGCTCCAACAGTCAGTGGCAGACTAACTACAGAACAGATCTTCAGTGAAAGCTTTCAATTTAGGATAAGAAAGATTGCCATTCCAGTTGCATGAGCTAGCCCAATACATAGCCCAAGAAGTAGGCAGAGGTGGCAGGCTGTCAGGTCACAGGACTAAGGTAAGTAATGTTCAGATCACTGCACAGAACACACTTGAGGGAGTGATGCAAGCTTTTTGCAAGAGTGAGAGGAAAATACAAGTAGACAGCAGAACAAAAACTGTGAGGATATTTGCAAGAGAAAGGACTGCAAGATGTGTGGTAGCTCATTGGAACAAAGCAAAGTAATGAGAAACCAAAGAGGCACATGTATGCCCTGTGGCAGGTGAAGTTGGTATGGATGGATGGAAGAGAGGCACCAGGACTTGCTGCAGAAAACAGAATCATCCAAAATCCACAAAACAGTGATACCTTTGTTGGGCCAATCATAATGCACATTATACATCGGGTAGGCAACCTTTTTGAGTCGGGAGCCGAGTTGCTGTCCCTCAGACAACTGGGGGGGCCAAAGCACCAAAAATAAATAAATAAATAAAATTTTAAATTTAAAAAATATGCATGCACACTCTCTCAGCCCCAGAAAAGTCATGGCAAAACCCCTGTGAAGATTTTGCCAAGAAAACCCCAAGAACAAGTAATAACAACAATAATCAATATCATCATGGCTGGTGGTGGTGGCGGGGGGGCGGCGGCGGCAGGACTGGCCTGGGGCCGGTCCAAAGGCCTCCGGGAGGGCGCATCCAGCCCCTGGGCCTTAGGTTGCCTACCCCTGTTATACATGTTGGAAGCTTTCAAAGCTCTGCTGGCTACTTCTTCAGTCATTTAAAACCCATACAGGAGAAAAAGAAAGAAAGAAAATTACAATGTTAATCATAGCCCTGCATTCTAGCCTGATTGCTGAGCAGAGGGGCGTGCTAGAAATAAAAATTATTATTATTATTATTTGATTAAGTTGTTGTGGTTGTTGTCCTCAGTTCAGGTGGTATGGAAGGATATTAATGCAGGTGGGCCCCTCCTCCTGGCCATGTTGCGTACTGGGAAATTCAATCCAGGAGATAAACTTTAAATTCCATTAGCAAGTTCAAAGTTTATTTCCTGACTGAATCTTCCAGTACCCACATGGCCAGAAGGAGGAGGGGCCCATCTGCATTAATATCTTTCCATACCATCTGAACTGAAGACAACAACCACAACATCTTGACCAAATGCAGGGCTGTGACTAACATCATCAATTTTTCTTTCTTTCTTTCTTTCTTTCTTTCTTTCTTTCTTTCTT